TTTTGTTTTATACTACAGTTTTCACGGTGTCGATGGAAAGAAAGGTCGAGGTTAAACTGCACCCGTTTGAAACTCCCTGCATCTGGCTGTTCAATCCGAGTGCAACACCCTGACTGACATTAGCTCATGTATATTCGGCACTATTACAAGTTTTATCGTAGTTTAATACAAAAATCATCGTTAGCTTACCTGAACCGTCTGAGCCACCTGAGCCACCTGCTTTCCTGCCGCTGCAAGGCGGAGATCAGCTCCTCCTCACCACATCGCAGCTTTCCTCCCACTGTCACATTTTCTTTTAGTCTCAGAAAAATCGCAATCAGGCTATTATAAAATAGCTCAGCTCTCTCTTCTTCTTTTGTATCAGAAAAACAACAACTCGCGTTAGGTCGCATGTAACGAAGCACAGCACGTAGCTCCTGGAGGCGGGGCGCTACACCCCCCCCCCCCCCCCCCGGAGGCGGGACTCTGCAACAGGGCCAAGGGGGCCGGGGGAAACGCGGTTACTCCGAAACAGAGCTTTAGCTTTAGCTACAACAGGAATGAGAGTCAAAAGGCCGGTGCTCAACAGTTGATTTGCATTTACATGGCTCTCAGCAACTTCATTTAAATACGAAAACCTCTGCTAGGCCCAAAGGTGGGGGGTTAGGGGGGACAGGGGGGGATCGGGGAACACGGACACACAGCATTTTTGACCATTCTTGGCAGTGCTCTACAATTTTCCACTCTGACAAAAACCTCTTGCCGATAGCCCTCAATCTCCATGCGCACGGCAGAACTAGGTGTCAATAGCTGTCAAGAATCCCACTTTTCATGCAGTGTGTGGAGTCCTCACATTGCTGATTTTTTCGATGTGTGGCCTTGTGTTTAGATCAGTGTTTCTCAACCCTGGTCCTCACTGCCCCTCCTGCTCTGCATGTTTTAGATGTGCCTCTATTCCAGAACAGCTGATTCAAATGACTGCATGACCACCAAGCCTGTTAATCACCCAGAGATACAATTCAGGTGTGTGGCAGAAGGGAAATACCTAAAACATGCAGGACAGGGTGTCAGGGTTCCTGTGTGTGTGTGTGTGAGTGTGAGTGATGGATCTGTTCCAGCAAAGATCTTGGTGAAGAACCTGGGCAGCCTACACAGGTGGATCTCATCTGCCTCATCAGTGTTGGGGATAAAGGAGCAGCAGAACCTTCACTCAGTGCTGGATGATTAACGTGCACTGGTAGTCTCTCTAGCCATTTCTTGTGGTTTACATTACTAGTTGTTTTGATCCGTCTCTTCAGTATTTTACCAGTGGTTTCATAGTCCCTGTGTTTGCCTGCCTTTAGGTCAGTCTCTGGATTTTCAACTGGATCAAGTTCCATTGTTTTCTCCTCCTGAGGATTTTACCTCCAAGTCTGTCTGCCCGCTGCTCCCTCCACACCTCTCCATCAATTTGGTGGCTCCCAGTCATCACCATCCTCACTCTTCTCAGGAACCTCTGTGAACCATTTTCCACACTGGACCTTGGCACATTCCCCCATGCCTCAACCAGAACTATTCTAAAGTAAGCCATTTCATATTGCATCGGTGATCATCTAATTTTGGGCCACCAGTAACCCCGCTCTCATTCCAGGCACCTCCGATTGCACGACACAACCGCCCCCAGAAGGATTAAGAAGAATTGCCTGTTGTCTTTAAGAAAATAAAATCCTTACCTTTACTCAGGCTTGTTGATTTTGCATGTGGGTCAGAAGGTTAAAGCCGAACATGGCACAGGGAGGTGGGACCAGGGTTGAGAAACGCTGTTTTAGATGGTGGCCGAAAAAGACTCGCCCTGGAAACCATTCATGCAAGGACAGCCACTGCCAAACACTAATAATTAGACCAGAAAGGGTCTCACTAAATATTATTCTTATACTTCATTTCATCTGAGTGTCTTGAAAACAATCACATAAATCTGACAGATAAAAGCCAAACGGCAGCAATTACCCCATGAAAACCACCAGCTTTCTAACAGGTAGCTGTCCTCGCTCTGTAATTGGTCTAAAACGCCCCCCTACATCTCCCCCCCGCCCCCCAGCAGAGATCATGGCCCCACATGAGGGAGCCTGGGCTGCAGTCGGCGGCGCGGCTCAGTCTGCCTCCTCCTCGCCGCGTCCTGGCTCTCATCCCCGGCACTGCCGCCAGGATCGATCATGCTATATCTCGGGATGTTTTCCACGGCTGGCCCGCACGATGCCGCCTGATGCGGATGCATGATTGAGTTGGCAAACTGATTCAGACCGCAGCAGATGTGAGATGCCCTTGCCTTCGCCATGGCCAAAGGTCCGTTTCCATGGGGGGTCTTCAGAAAACCTCTGTACGTCCAGGTAAGCTTTCGGGGGAACCCCCCTCACCCCACGCCACACACACACGCACACACCTCGCTCGCTCTCTCTCCCTCTCTCTCTCTCTCTCTGTTCTGATTCGGCTCGCTGCATGAGCAGCAGTGTGTGCGCTCACCCGGGTTGTTACATGGAAAGAAAAGAAACGAGACGATGCAGCTGATCGCGGGTACACGCGTGGCGTGTTTGCCCGTCACATTTTGATTCTGAATGGCTGCGAATCTGCAGAATCATCTGAAGGTTTATCCGAATGACTCAGTCACTTGATGCTCGGCAGGGATCAGCCGTCCTCCTGAGCCCGTGGTTGCCGTGGCAACCACTTCCATGGTGCAGCTGGTACATCACACGTTCAAACCGGGCAGCTCTGAAAGCAGCAAAAGTTTTAAAATCACAATACAGGTCAGGCTCTTTACACGCATCTGTTGCCAAACCTGGTAGAGAGATGAGTACAGAATCGTCCAAAAAACATTACAGGATTTATGGCGGCAGCATAATCTCACTTTTTCCTTTTCCTTTTTTTCATGGTTTTTTTTTTAAATAAAACTCAAACCTTTAATTTGAGTAGTTTTATTAACTGGGTGACGTTATCTCCAGCAGAGGTGGGTAGTACTGGAAAAAAAAATACTTTTAAGAGTTGATTTACTACACAGTACTTTTCACTTCTACTTGAGTAATATTTTCATAGCATATCGCTGCACTTACAGGAGTGAAAATTCTCAATATTCTACCCACTGTGAGTAACTTCACTGAATGAAGAAAAGATAAAACAAACAAAACAAAACCCTGGTTCCTGACATGTACGAGATACAGACACAGGTATAGTTTCAGTCGAAGTAAGTCTTTGTCTCCATCAGAAAAACAAACCTTTTATGATTTGGAAGATTTTATTTTGTATTCATGTTTATTTGCATTTTAAAATATCAGAATTAGGACATACACTTGTATTTTTGTAATTTTTAAACATTAAATCAGATGTTCTGATCAGTTTCTCAGTATCTTTTAACCAGATTTTGTACTATTACTTGAGTATAATTGTGGGGGGTTCTCTTATGCACTTTTCTCTGCTGTCTCTTCCACAGTTTTTCCTAGAAGTGGGACAATTCTTTTCATTTTTTTTTTTAGGGAAGTTAGGTAGATAGTTGCAGGTTTTTAAGCTTTGTCGATATTTTGTTGTTCTTTTTAAATCTCTGATTTTGTCCATTCAAAAGAGTTGAAAGGTCACCGCTTCACTTTCTTTAGACAGGAACAGTAGCTCAAAGAGAAGGTGGAGGAAATTGATCTTTTCACAGACTGTCTCATATTAAATTATCATGATGTGACAGTTTTAACAAATATGTATAAAACAATTTTTAAAAAATTATATATTGCAGTTTTAACGTGACTTTTTTCAAAACTGAATAGATGAATTCAGTTAAAAAATGTAGTATTTTTTTATTATTCTTTAGCTTGTGATTATGCTACATTGGCGAAAGGCACATATGTTTTATGGATTTCAGACATCGTTTTCTGGGATTTCAGTAATCTGTGAACTGAAACAATGCTGAACGTTTTCATTCTGATCCGCCCAAAGCATGTAGAATCAGAACAGGTCCAACAGAGGCGTCCACCATGAGTGTCAAACTGCTTGGAAAGCATCTTGAGGACATTCAGAGGGGTTAGCCTCTCACATGCAGCATTTAAATCCAAAGTAAAAGCTCAGAGGAGGATACCAATATTCAGATTCAGCCTACTGTAACTGGTTTGCTTATTTTCTTTTTTTTTTCTTTTCCTGGTTAAATACGCTCAACTGAAGTCACTTGTGTTTTCCCTAATTTAGGCAGATTCATCTCACCTCTTGTCTGCGCACACACACGCACACAAAAACTGTTCGAGACAAAAACTGTTCGAGACAAAAACTGTCAGGAGCAGTTAAAAGAAGGAAGAGAGGCGCTCTCCAGGGACCGCTCCGAGCGCCGCTCCGTTTTCTAGGCCACCGCAGCCTTCCAGTGACAGCTCAGGAGGTGTCGTTCAGGGACCCTCTGAAGGGAAACGATTTCCACTAAAAATACAAAAACGTTACTCCTGTTCCATCTTTAGATTAAACACTCTGATTCAAATCATACTGTGATTTAGATCATGTAATTTAACCTTTTCTTCGCAGTAAAGAAATGCTTCCAACGCAGCTTCTGGGAAAGTGGTGATGTCAAAAATAAAAACCGAAAAAGGATTCTGGTTCATTTTAGCGTCAGAACGTTAGTGAACGAACATCATCATGAAGCTCGGCCGACACGGCAGGCAGGTTACCACTTTAAAACAGGGTTAGATTCTGAAATGATGGCCGAAACTTTGGACATTGTTGAGAAAAATGATTATTTTTAGCCTTTAATAC